ATTCTGAATGAAGGAGGACTGGGCATCTCGGAACAAAAGCGACAGCCTGTTCGACATTCTGCTGCACAGTCCCTCCAGTGTGCCTCAGAGTGGTTCATAATAGGTATGTGTGTGCTAGCAATATAAACTTTGCTCTACATACACCGAACTATTACTGCAACCCCCACTTCCAGCTGTACCTTCTCCCCCAGTTTGACCAATATGTGTTTCCAGTTACTATGTAACAGGGCTATTGCCGGCATAGACATTACAAAGGTACTGTTAAACATTGCTGTTCTACTCTTACATAATGAGGAGAGCTGTATTGTTTTTAATTTTTAGAATTAAAAGAGATTTATTTACTATTATTTCACACAATGACATGAAATAAGTGGTGGGATATATAAGCTAAAAATAGAAAAAATTGCCTTTAGTAGGTTGTTTTCCTTTCCAGTGACAGAAACAACATGTCTTCTTCTTTTCATTTCTCTTCATTTCAAAGCGAGTGCAGATGAAACTGCAATTACTAAAACCTTATTCTTCAATGGGAAGATACAGTGGTGGAGACACTGAACACTAAAAGGGAGGTCTGTTAAAAACACAAGTTAATAAACTGTAGAACTGTAATATTACATTTCAGGGAGTTTTTAAATTACTGCCTAGAGGTAGAGAAAGAAGCAAATCCACTCTTTAAGAATGGCTTTCCTGAGGCACACTTACTCCCTAAGATAGGATTATCCTGCAAAAACAACAATAAACTATCTCTCAGTGGAGCACTGCAACTTATTATAAAACTCAAATAAAAGAAATATTCTTAAAGGTCTCCACACAAGTTGATATATGAGGCGCATTTATTACATTTATTTACTTTATCTTTTCAGAAACCTGAAAAACAACAGTAGTGAAAAGCAGATCTGGAGTTTTTATGTTTATAATAATAATCCTTTATTTAAGTAGATGGCTCAGATGAGAAAACATTGTAATTTACAATGATGATCTGGCCAAAAGGCTTCATTAAACTGTTGTCTTAAAATGTTATACTTGCATATCATGTAGTTCCTCAGTAATATATGTAACTATTGCAAATGTATACTCCTCACCAAATGAAAAAAAATGTTAGGTTCCACCCACTTTCCTCTACAAAGGTGGTTATAATTTATGAGTGACATTAAGGGAAACATGCTCCTTGAGGTTTCCAGGGCAACAAAGCTATCATATTTTTCATTCCAATGAGAAATGACAAAATAATACAGAACTGTTTAGCTTCTGTAACAAAAACATGTAGAATAAGCTAATGCAACACACAAAATTGTACGAGCAGTCTGTAATATTTGTCTCACTTGATTAAACTTAGCATGAAAACTGTTATGCAAAGTTAAAATTATGAATCTAGAGAAAGAATACTACAGTAAGTGAACTGCTTTCAAAATAATTGATTTTGGCCACTGGGGACTGCACACATTCAAAGCCGGTACATGGACTCTTTCTTGATCCCTTTATTTCTTACAACAGTACTATAACTTTGAAAAATAACATGCCATGACCTTTATGATGTTGTGATGTTGAAATTCCGTAAAGTTTTTAAAACTGCCAAGACAACTAGAGAATGTGTGGTTGAGACTTTTACCCTATTATTTTGTTCTACAGACACCAACACAAATTTCTTTTAAATGTTGGGTTTTAAATTGGAGCTCTGCAAGTCACCTCAAAATACATTTTATGTTCCCATCATTTTCTTTAGCAAAACATACTGTTGTATAAAAGTATTGTAAATATTAAGAAACCTAAAACTTGGCAATTTCTGGGTTCTTAGAGAAAACAAATATACAGCCAAAAGAACTTCCACAGAAATAATTTTAAATCACCTTTAAATGATTCCACTTGTAAAAACTACATGGACAATCTATTTTTCACTGTTGTCAATGTGTTTTGATTCAATGAATGTACAATGCACATTCTGAACAAAAACATGTTTTGTCTTAACACTGAAAATGAACTGAAATATTTTGAAGCATGCAATTTATGTCTCTTTTAGAATTATGAAAAACTCACTGTAGTGAACAGTCAAAATTAAAATTGAAAATACTAGAATATGCACAATTTGTTTCTTCAGCTAAAATAGTTCTGGGTCTCCTGAGGGCAAAATTGAGCCATGGACAAGTGGTAATTCCTCAAATTACATTAATATTAGTTCATAAATGCTTGCATTTGTAGAGCACTTTTTATCCCATAGGATCCCAGAGAGCTTTACATAAAATACTTTGATGCCAAAGGTTAGTGCCAGCAATTATCCTTCTTCCATCTACTCCATCCACTCAGTAAGGAAAATGTATTTTAATTCAAACTAAAAGCTTGTTATAAAAGGATCGAGATACTTCTCATAGTGCCATAGGCTTATTTTACTAAAATCATTTGGTTCTTAAATTATTCAGCAGTCAGTTAGATTGCCTCAGAGAAAAGTTTTTTGAAAGGCAAATTAGAGATAACATACCGTCTTTTTGTAGGTGGTATGAATCACATGAAGTTATTGTACCCGAAGGTAAAATACTCAACGTCACAACATTGTGCTTGAAAAATAACAGCTATTTAATTTCTTTCCACTGCAATTTACAAGCAATACTTTAGTATGGGGGTACATTTTGAAAGGTATAATCTATGACAAGATGCTAGTACTTACAAATGTAATGTTTGGAATATTTTAATATGTTTGGGTCAGCAGCATGAAGTATTGGCTAGGGCTATGGACTCTTGTCTAAAGGGTAATAGATTCAAATCCCAAGTGGGGTGGTACTGTTGTGCCTTTTAGCAAGGTTCTTCACTCAGACTGTTCTTATAAAGGCCTTGCACTTCTGATGAACTTGTATAAGGAAAGATTCTGAAAAAACCTTTCAACTTTAATTTAAAGCAGTACATTTTATATTTAATTCAGAGGTTTGCTGAATGTGAGAAAGATGTAGAATAGATATCACAAACTTGGGAACAATGAAATTACTAAAAGAGGAGGAGGAGGAGGAGGAGGATCCTGTTTTTAAAGTATAGAGGAGTGGGCCATTTGAGGGCCCCTCTGAGCATGACTTTGCTTATTTTTTCTGAATTCATCTGTAAAATTAAAAAATATTCATTTACTAACTTTCTTGCAAAGAAAGGTAGTTTTCTGATGTCTTTCAACATCCTTGATTATTGAAATATCCATTCGATATATCCATTTCAACACAGAAACTGTTTGTGTGTTCCATAAAACACACAACACAAGAATAAACAGGCCATGACATTAATTCTAGGACGAGAACAAATTCCATATTTCCCACTGAAACCCTTTCCCTCATTAACTTTTCTCTGGTGGTGACACAAGCCAAAGTAAGGCTGACTTTGTTCATTGCCTTTGGTAGTCTTGTAGTTGAATCAAACAGGATGATCTTTTTAGCATCTGAATGCATCAGATTATCCCTTGGTATTTTCTTTGTGTCATCCCCTAAGTAGACAGTGACACAGGTCTTGCAAACCCCCTGTCTTTCTATCAGAACTCTGAGCCAGCTACACAGATTCTTTCACCTGCCACAGCAGTGCAAACACTCTCCTGAACTTTCAGCAGATCCGATTTAGAAAGCAGAAGTACCCGTGCGGTAGTCAGATTCGTGCTATAGTTCTGTGCAAATGTAGTGATCACTGTTCTCAGTTGGCAATCACTGGCACCTGGCACACTTCATTCCCTGCAGCAAGACACCAGCTTTCCACTACAGACAATTTGCAAGAGCAGCAAATACAAAAAAAAACATTTCTGTATTTATGACAGTGTATACATTTGACATATTGTTCTATTTCAATATTTGCTTGAGAATTCTTTTCTGAAGTTTGCATTTTAATGTTAAATGGGTACATGTCTCTTTTCCAGCTTTATTTATTATAGTGAATAATTCATGTGTTGTAAACGTACAAAAAAAAATGAAACCTGACTTTCAGGAGAGTTTGTCTTACTTTTCTGTATCAAGAGTGCTTTTTTATTTGTCATTGTGTACCAGAATCAGAATGAAGAGTTCCTTGCAGTGATTTGTCAAAGAGACATTTCTATAAATGGTACAAAAATGCAAAAAAAAAAATCCTGGTACATTGATTTCTAAATGGTGACTTTTCAAAGCTTTTATATGTGGAGGGTTGTATTCTAGAGCTTTAGAACAGCTTTTTGATATTTTTGAGTGGCACAGTTGTTAGCTTTGCTGCTTTGCAGCACTGGGGCCCTGGGTTCAATCCCAGACCTGGGGTGATATCTGCATGATGTTTGTAGGTTTGTATAGAGTCTATTCTTCATACTGGCAGGTTAAGTGGCTTCTGGGAAAATTGTCCCTGTTGTGAGTGTGTGTGCCCTGTGATGGACTGGTGTCCCGTCTAGGGTGTACCATCACCCTAGGGGATAGGCTCTGGTTCCCTTGTGA